GTGATTACATCACTGCCTTTAGCCAAGTCAAGGACACACAAAATCAATGCTCTTGATGCAAATGCACAGTGGGAATTCACTTTAAAGCTAATAACATTAAGCTCAGAGCGCTGTGATGTCGGCCCACATTGTAATGTTATGTAAATCTGACCATATGACAGCTTCATTTAAATCGAGAGTGTGCAAGATTATGCGTGATAGCGGCCCATTTTGCTCCCTCATGCTCATCTCTGCTTCCCGGTAAATAAATCAGGGCATAATTCTGCGTATTAGAAGAAGACATTCAAAAATGCTGGAGCTGGCCCCCGGAGACTTGACGCCGGATTTCTTATGCAGAAGAAGAAATTGGAGGGTACATCATGTTGGCTGGAGGGCCCATCACTCATCAATTTGTTTGTAAACACCAGATTTATGTGCAGTAAAGCAAGTCCTCGGTTAAACTGCTGGGGGGGGCCTTCGTTCCCCCTCAGACACACACACACACCCACACACACAGGATCGCCTGCAGCATATTTAGGAAAAAATTACGAGGAAATCTCCACACTGCTGGCATGTCAAATTCTTCAGTTTGCTAGCATAGGAACGGGGGGGAGGGGGGGATGAGTGAGTACTCTCCAGTTTACAGCTCGCGTCAGGAGCTGGAGAGCAAACAATCCGATGATATAACCGCAGTATTTACTGTCAGCATCAGGCCAGCTGTGGATAAACAGCCTCTGTTTGCTTTCACATTCTCATGTACATCAGTCGTCAATGACCAGAAGAAACCCCGCGTGAGGGCCTTCTAGTGTTGCAGGCGGATCGCCTCGTTCGTACCATTTCAATTTTGCACTCTGCAAGAAGGGAATAAAGTGCTCAGCGACTTACTGCTGATCTGCAACTCACAAGTAAAGATGACAAATGGAAAGGATTAAATCAAGCGGGTCCTGGAAAGGTGGCAGTTTAAAAAGAAGGAAAAAAAACAGGTCTTTAAATTATTCTAACAACTCCATCAAGTTGATCCCAGCAGTGAGCATACTTCATAGTCGAGTGCATTTGCTGATTGTGGCCCTAAAAAAAAAAGAAAAGAGAGAGACTGTGACACAGTGCTGGTGTAATTAAACCACAGTCTCAGTTATACACAAAAGAGTGTTGCAAGTGTAGGATTTCTATTAGGCTGGTGATTCCAGCTAAGGAGTGTTTGGGGAGACATGTAAGCAGGTGCATTAGCTGCTACTGAAGAGAGAGTGAGTCAAGTAGTCACGGCTTTTACTTGTTGGGGATAAATCTCTTTCATCTGCAGGTACAGTGCAGAGGAAGTCACCAACAGGTGGCACGAGGAGAAGACAGAGAGAACGAGCTCATTACCTGGGCAATCCACCGGACCAGGAGCCGAAAGGCCAAGTGTTAACCGGCGGCGGGGGAGGGGGTGGACGGGCCCGAATCAGAGATAGAGGTTTAAGATTTTTCATATAATTAAACAAAACACAGCAAAAGGAAGCAAGACACAGAGACGTGTTGCTATTGCAAAGCTTTTATTGAAGGAAGAAAGAAAAAAAACAAAAAGACTACATCAAGCCCCTTCAGAAGATCAAGAACAGATGCTTTACTCAAAATAGCGGCTCGGGCTATACGAGGTGAGTTAAAACTCGGCGGCTGCAGCCTTAAGCACCTGATGGAGACATCTACAAAGGGGATCGTCTTTATTTACTTTGGTAAAAAAAACAAAAAAACAGGTAAAGAAGTGAAGTTCTTTGAGGTGAAAGAGGAAACATGAAATACACAGTCAGAGTAAGGTGATTCAATACTGCTCAGCCGAAGGCACTTTACAGGCGGGGCTACGACAGCAGACAACGCGAACAAATTCACTTATGAAAGCGTTTTCTTTATGAGAGGATTTGCATCATATGTGCTCCAATGAAAGGAAGCGTAACATGTTCAAAGACCAACCATAAAAATAACCAATACATGAGTTTGACACAGCTTCAGCGCATCAGCAGAGATTTACCTGTGCACATGGACCAGACCAGGGTATGCTGAGCAGAAAACATGTGCTAATAAACCAACTTGAAATCATTCATGACTAGTCATATTATTTGTTTACTGCTTTGTGAGTGCATTACATCCTTTTAATGTAAAGGCCTTATCTAGATAATACAGCTTCTTCTTCTGTTGAGGAAAATAGCAAACGACAGTGATGGACGAGTGCAGTGCAGTTTGGAGTCAGATTCCAGGCAAATGGAAGTCCAACATTCATTTGCCTTTTAGCTGTTTTGGTTTCCTGAATGAAGTCTTGTGGTGTTTTGCAGCTAGATGCCCCAGAGTGACTTGTTGGAAAAGTGAAATGGTTTTTATCCAAGCTACTTCACAGAAACCGCGCTGCTGGCTGAGAACATGAAAGTACTGCATTTTAGCATCTTCAGCTCAAAACAACGAGCCCAAAGATGATAAAATGCTCCAAGAAATGACGGGAACGGCACAGTCTGGTGTTGATTATCTGCACCTTTCACTTATGCTACTTAATCAGGTGTTAAAGACATCATTAGATCATCAACAGAGAAATTTTGATGTAAAGATTTATTGAAAAATGTAGATGTCTGTAGAATAATAACACCAACACTGCAGACTGGTTCCTTCTGTGTGCAAGAGGTTACAAAATCTCCTGGTAAAGCAAAAGTTTGATAGCGCTAAATTAAAACAGGGCGGCAGTAATTTTGTTTTCCTGGTAGCCATCAGCGGATTTTCATGAGCAGCTGACACGGTGGTCTGTGCAACAGCTGGAATAACTCTGGAAACCTCCTGGCAAAACAAGAGCTTCGCTGTTCGACGGAGGCAGAGAAGGCGACGAGGGGGAGCGAGAGCGAACCTCGGACGGCATTCTTACAAAGTAGAAATACCACCAACCCAAACCTGCGTACTCATTAGCTTCGCGACAGTGGATGATTCTTAAATGGAGGGCAATCCAGTCTTTGTGACAGCGGTGCGAGGGAAGGAGTGGCAGGAAGGTATCTACTGTCACTTCAACCCCTACATGCACCGAAGATCTGAAAGAATTCCTAATTTTACGCTGAACTGCTGTCACGCTGGGAAGTTTGCTTTGGCGGATTTGTTGACATCTGTAACATCCACTTACTGAACGCTGTCGAGGCATGCATCATATTTTCTACACAGCCCAATTTTATTATAGATGTGTATTTTCTGTTGTCAAATATTCCTAAAATATGAATGGAGTAGCAGCTGTTACAGTAAAGTACAGCAAACAGAGGCTGAAACTAAAATGTTTAACTAACTGCAGCCTGACTCAGAACAAAAGGCCGTGGGAGAAATGCACAGCTGCTGTTTCACGTGTAAAAGTCTCAGTGCATCTTTAATACTGACGCCTGATTATCCAAACAAGGGCCACAGATAAAGTGACATGCTAACGCAGCATGAATCCCAGCTGTAGTCTCATTGTGGTATATTTTCCCAAAGATTAGAAGTAAAAAAACAGGAGAATAAATCTCCAGTTACTAGACAGAAGAACAGACCCGACTGTAGCAGCTTTAGTTCTCTTAATCACCGCCTAACTAATTAAGATGACTGTAGACGTTGCTTCTAAACAGTTCAGCGACACCGTGGAGACATTTTTAAAGATCTTTAGGACAGATTACAGGTTTTTAGTTGAAGCAGTGCACTTGCTGCTTACTGAACTGTAAAAATACTGTATTTTGGGGGGGTTGTATATGACCGATGGACCTTTTGCGTACAGCAATGCGCTCCAAATATTGATGGAAAATGTCCTGAGGACGTGAAGTTTATGTTGCCTAACCTTTTCAGAGAACCAGCCCTCGCTCCGTTCCTGCTGCAGGCATGTGAGCTAGTACCAAATGTAAACTGCCTAACCAGCTTCCACCTTCTCAACTTTAAATACCCCGCTCAATTCCAAATAGAAAGCTTAGTCAATTTTTAAGTTAAAAAACAAACAAATAAACAAGCAAAAAAAAAGAAAATCTGCGACAGTAAAGGTTTGGTGAATTCTTCGTTCACCTTATTAGCACAGTCGTCTTTACAAAGCGATACCCTGGTTGAAACTCTGCTGTAACAGGACGCACTGATTACATCTGATGTAGTAAATAGAGATCAGAGGCGATAAACAGGACTAAATGTTGTGTAAGGAAAACAGGAAAGAGGAGACGAATTCTCTTAAAGTTAGAATGAACTTCTCTGATCGAGCCTCGGGAATAATGCGCCTCGGTTAGCTCCAGCTAATAAACTAGCAAAGCATTGCAACTTGTAGTTACTTGTAGTTTCAAAGTACCATGTGGAGATTTTCTAAGAACAAATCAACATAAAGTTTCACTTTTGTTCTTCTGACAAAACAGCTGAATGTTCGTATGAACCTCATGTTCTGCTAGCTTGTAGCTGGTCGTCACTGTTTTTGTGGCTGCAGAGCTGCGCTTTGGATTTCTCTGTTGTCATTTTACGTGTTTGTGGTCATGTGCATCTGCTTGGATTTTTCTCGTCTCGTCTTTTTAGCAGTTTTCTGTCACTTTGTCGTCACGCTACATCTCGTTACAGCTTTTTTTTTGTCTTTTTGTTGCTTCTTGTTGGAAATTTTTCACTTCATGTTGTCGTTTGATGTCTTTTTTAAAAAAATTATTTTTACTTGTTTTGTCATGTTGGGACGATCGTGGCTCAAGAGTTGGGCATTCGCCTTGTAATCGGAAGGTTGCCGGTTCGAGCCCCGGCTCGGACAGTCTCGGTCGTTGTGTCCTTGGGCAAGACACTTCACCCGTTGCCTACTGGTGGTGGTCAGAGGGCCCGGTGGCGCCAGTGTCTGGCAGCCTCGCCTCTGTCAGTGCGCAATGTAGCTTGCCATCACCAGTGTGTGAATGGGTGGATGACTGGATATGTAAAGCACTTTGGGGTCCTTAGGGACTAGTAAAGCGCTATATAAATACAGGCCATTTACCATGTTGCATGTTTCAGTTTTTTGGTTGGGTGGGGAAACAGTTTTCTTTTCATTTTTAATTTTTGTTTATCTCTTGTTCTTTTTTAAAGGCATTTTTTCACCATTTCTATTTTTTTTTAGGGTTTATGTAGTTTCTTTGTAGTTACTTACAATTTTTACTTTCAATTTCTTTGGAGCCAAGCCATTTTTTTTCCCTCTTTACAGTCTTTATACTTGTCTTATATAATTTTGGTGGAATGTTTGCATATCTGTGCCATCATTGTGTGCCTCTCTGTGGTCTTCTTTGTCTTTGCAGTTGTTTTGTGTCACTCTGTATCTCGGTGTAGACACTGTGTGCTTCTTTGTGATCTTTTTTTGAAGCCGTTTTCTTTGCCTGACGTCTTTATTGTGTTTTGATTGTCGTTTTTTGCGATAAACAGTAAAGTCATACTCCACAAGGTACGTTAAACTCACCTAGTACTGCTGTAACATCGGAATGAACCCTAAAGCTTCTGGTCCATCGCTCTTGGATCGAGCAAATAACATAATCAGTTATTTTTGGGAAACTCTCACGGTCCCTTCTTTGTCCATCAACTTTGAAACAAACAGCAAATATAAAAGATGAGCGTTAATGAAACAATCAGCACTGACATAAAGCACAGAGACGCACAGAGACACACAGTTTGATTACAGGGTTACAATAAGGACACTTATGATCACATCTGTACATGTAAAATATTTCCTTAAATCATAAAATTTCTCATAAAGTGTCGATGCAATTAACATTAAAAATTGCATAGGCATGGAATATTCTTTATTTCTGTGAGACTGCTTAAAGAACAATCACTGCTTTTGTCTATGGTCGTTAAAAAGGGGCAAGTTACACAATTATACGCTGAAAAAAACAAAAACAAGAATTAAACTCAACACAAAGGTTGTGTTTATATGATTGTGCTGCTCAGGCCAAAATGGAAAATAATCAACCATATGCATGAAAGAATATCCAGCTGAAAGGAAAATATTGTGCTAAAAAGGAGGTGTGGTTTTTTTGTTCTCAACAGCAGAAATAACTGTTTATCATTCCTGCAGTACAGAGCAGTTTACTCTAAATAACGTGGAAATACATACAAACATGGCAGTTTAGATTCGCTTTTTGGAGTTATGCAGAGCTGTTTTGAAAGCCTTCGTTGGGTAATTTCATCCCATTTTGTGTACTGTACTCTGATTTGTCCTGCAGAAAAACAAACAAACACGTTTTTCCTAAAAATACTGCTAAAGCTACAGTCACACACGCGCACACTGACATCCATCCACAACTTCACCTGCACAGTAAACATATTAAACATTTTGCACGTCCTGCTCGTGTTTTAGATCAGAAAAAGAAGTCGGAGAGGAACATTATGGGCCCGTGCATGCACGTGCAACCTAGCTAAAAGATATGTGCTGGTGATAAATACGATAACAGGAGGATAACAGGGGGTGGTGATGTATATTGTAGACGGATTTAGATTTAAAGTAGCAGTGCAAAAATTGTAGGAAATGCGTAAAAGCTCTATGGCTTAGAGTTAAATGATGAACCAGCTAGCTTAGCATTTTTACAATAAAATAATGCAATATAATATAATTATAACTAAACCCCTCTTTCAGTGAGCTTTAGAGATCCTTTTTTTTTAAACCTTCAGACTGAGGAAGAGCAGTTGCTTCCCATGTCTTCCTCTCTTTATGTTAAGCTACAGGAAGAAAACTTTAAATAAGAAAAACTCTTCTGCAGTGATCGTACAGAGTAAATAATTATATGTGAGCGTGTGAATGTGATGCCACAGTATGTTTTGTTACTTAAGGTGAACATTTATATAGAGCCATATATATGTAAATGAGGAATGCAGGCTTTTGTGGATGTTTGCAAGAAACCAAAAGAGCGAGCAAGGGCCGGGTTATCACAGTTTAGCTGTTTAGAGGTCAGTGGTGGCCTTGGCGGTGAGGGCCTGGATGCGGCTGGTGTTACAGTTTTTGCAGAGCACGTGTCCATCCAGCGGGTAGCAGCCCTGGTTATCCCCCTCCGAGAGTAGGGAGCCGCAGTCCTGCAGGACACAGATAGTCCGTTAGTCCACAAACACAAACGGGGTCATTATCCACGCTCACCGGTCAGACACATTCACCCTCCTCTCTGCACTCAGGCTCTAAACGACACATTTACTGCTATTTAAAAGCTCAGCCAGTGTCACGTTATGGGAGCCTCTCTGCAGAAAACCCTGTGCTACGGTTCTCTGCCAGTTGGTGAGTCTGAATGGAAACAACTGGTTAGTACTCAGACACAGTTGAGCTTAACTCCCAATCTTTCAAGGATTTAAATTCAGACTTTTTTTCCCCCCTTGTAAAAGTGTTTCAAGCAGAACAATTTTTCTAAGTATGATTGCAAAATGTGTGTCCTTTTTTACAGATTCTAATATAAATGTATTCCAGCTCGTCTCTTTCAGGAGTGGAAGCATCAGATATTTGTCTATTTCTCTGTGTTCCGGCTCCTTTCTTTGTCACGGGTATTAATGCAAAGTGTGCTCTTGTGTTTTTACTTACAGTGAGAATGATTTGAGTGGAGAAAATATTTTTATTTTTGGAGCTTTTACAATAAGAAATAATCCTCATTCATAGTAAAACTCAATTTTGTGTGAAAAAAAAAAGCAGTTTTAGCCTGCTCCCCTTTAAACCACTTTTTTCTGATTGGCTGCCCCTCTTGAACTTGTGGGCGGAGCTTCCGTGCCTGAGACGTCCATATTAGGGTTATTCCCACTCAATGACGTAATGCAACATTCCCAACAGTGAATGTGTGTTTGGTTCACAGGGATTATAAATACTTATGGAGACTTATGGAGAGTAGGAAATTTAGGAAAAGCTCAATAGATCCAAATTTATTCAAACAGCTTTTATGGAATTTTTTTAGATAAACTAAAAAGATGGCAACGAAAGGAGCATGTAACCAAATTGCATGACTTCATAAGAAAGGTAATATGTTTACAAGGCTGAAGAAGTCACTTTGATGAGTGATGAAATGTTGCATCCAGATGAAGAAAATCAACTTTCTGAGAATTCCTTACCAGGATTATTGAGCATGCAGTTTAATGCCTGCTCACGAATCAAACAGGAAAACATTCCACTCTAGCGCCTTTAGTTTATGTCATATTGACATATATATTCTTATGAAGTGGTAGTTAGCAATGAGACAGAAAAAAATGGTAAGCCTGTTTGCTTTGTCACTGTGAGCGCGTTAGCCTTTTTAGCTCAAAGCAGCGCAGCCTGACAGAGACTTTTGTGGTTGATTCTTTGATTATCGTTTCCTTTTTGAAGCACTTGGCTGATTCATGTATCACATCTTGTTAATTCTTGGAGATTTTGTAGACTCCGCGTGTTCTTTTTCAATATGCCTAAGCTCTTGTTTGGCCCTTTTCAAAGCAAAGTAACACCGAGTTACGGCTGAGCTCCGCTCTGATTGATCCAGTCTGGGAGCAGACGCACTCTTAATCATGAAGCTCACAAATACCTGAGAGATGACTGTGTTTGTGTTCTTACTGCTCACTCTGCTCTGTGAGGCTTACTTGAAAATCGCCTGTTGAAGATTCCTGTTATGCTACAACATTAGGTAACACCACTCTTAATAATTGGTACAATTATTGTTATTCAGTTTTAATCTATAGTTCTTTTTTCATCTGTGAACATTATCTGCGTGCTGTAAAAATGATGCTCTAGTTAAAAAAAGGAATACATAACACGTTTAATTATAAACTAATTTTTATGGCACGCATTTATGATTGAAACACAAGTTATATCATAGCTAATAATCAGTACACAACATTATTATCTCATTTTTGCTATTCATTTTCAGTTATTCGGTTTAATTAACCATCGTTTTACATTCTGTTACAGCGGTTATCACACAGTGTTGTCAGGCTCACATGATGTGTGTCCCTGTGTCACATCAGGCAATCATAAAGTCGTGAAACTGTGCCTTTTTGTGACTTGGAGACATGACAAACTACACATTGCTTCTCGGTCATTCACGCTTGACCTCTTTCACGATGCGCGTGATGTCACTGAGCAGAAGGCACCGCCGACATCCAGGAAAAGAATGTAAACTGACGATGGCAACTGGAGCAGTGTGCGCGATACCGATCTGTCAGCGCCATTTCACAGCTCGTCCTGAGTTGCACCACCAGCTTCACTCCTCTTCTGTTCCGCTCGTGTTTACAGGTGTACACAGCTGAGCAACTGCCCTCCTATTGGTTGAGCTCACAGAACTAAACTGTCGAGGAGGACAACATGCAAGCTTTTGTGTCAGGATGTTGTGAAGTATGCTAAATGCTCGGTGGGAATAAACATTCAAATTCCGTGCACGACATGCAAAAGTGACTCCCTACGATCCAAGTCGGGCCGTAAGCGTGCGGCGTGAACCCGGGGATGCCAAATGTTGCTCTGTTAGTGTGCAGCTCTGTTGTCTGACTGCAGCCTTCAGCTGGTTTCTGTGTGTTGTGGTAAGATGTGGTGAGGTGTGCGCTCTTTACATGCCAAGAAACAAACAGAATGTACCGATACACACAATGCTATGGCATTATTTTTCCATTGTCTGTGACACTGGCTTACACCCAACCTTCCTTTCTCTCCCCGACACACACACACAGACACACACACACACACACACACACTCAGAACTCCATCTACTCATTGCTCCCTGGTGACAAAATTCTTCTCTTGTTGAGCCCCTTCAGCTGAACTAATCTGCTCTGCTTTGCTTTGACCTTTATGTCTGGCAAACGCTCTATGTGCTCACGCTGGTGCAGCTCTTTGACAATGTGACACGTTACTTCTCTTTTAGCCGGGCACGTAACGTCTCAGCGCCGCTTATCAAGCAGGCGAGCGGCGCCTGACAGATTGGTTTCTATGTAAGTCCGTGAACTTTGCAGAGGAGAGACGGGAAGCTATTTCGAGGCAGGTAAGAGAAGGATGATTCACTCGTCTCGCTGAAAAGGTGACTCGGGGGATCGGTGTGTACGTTATGCCTTATACCTTTATGCAGTAATGACTGTCACCTGGAGCCGCGCAACATTATTCAGAACCATCACTGCTAATTATAGAGGACACACACACACACGGGATTGGTAAACACACAGAGCTCGTACCTCACAGCGGTAGCACTGCACATGGAAGTCACGGTCCAGGGCCACAATACGAACGGTCTCCTCCTGGCCCGGTGCCGGCATTATAGGCTCAGAGCACACACAGCAGCGAGGAGCAAACTTCCTGTGAAAAACAACCAAGAACAACAGAAATAAGCTCAGAACAATCTGCAACACTGTGACCTTTACTGACTGTTTGCCATTAGCACAAAGCTTACAGAGTTTCACTGCACGGTTCAAGCAGAGGTGCAACTAATGGCTCTTTTCATTAGCAAATTAATCTATTAATCATTCTGTCTGTACGTGTACAACAAGGACATCTCTAAACTCAAGTTTAAATTGCTTTTGTGTGACACGAAATCCCAGAGAAAAAGCAGCAAATCATTCTGAGAGGCTAAAACTAAGAAAAGCTTTGACATTTTTCTTGATTTAATAAATAAACGAATGATTTCTTGACCGTCGGCTCTCCCAGTATTCGCCAAACTTCACGTTGTGCAGCCCCTCAATCTAAGAACCCGTGATTATCATCTGACAGCCGGGCACATCGGCAAATGTTTACAGGCTTTCGGTGCAGCCATCAGGCCTTGTGCTTCTATGTGCGAGTCACGGTTTAGGGAGGCAAAGAAATGAGGAAAAAGCGACTAAAAGGCTAAATCATTGCGATCGTTGTGATGCTCTTCACATAGACTGTTGAACCTGTTTCAATATTTACGGAAGATATTCTAAAACGTTCTCATGACATTAACTGTGGTTTTCAACCATTTTAATACAAAACTGAAATAAAAAATACCGTAAAGTTCTATTTATTTAGATAAACTTCATCCTTTATTACATCCATCCTTCTGTTTCAAACCAAATCTCAACTCATCTGGTTTGTGGGTGTGTCATATTTCAAATATTTTGTGCATAAACACTCAAATATTTTGAGATTTATAATCCAAACACAGCTTTCATTATCATACCTATCATACCAATGGCGCAATTTCTGTAAAAACTATGAAAGGTTTAACTGTGAACATAAAAATATACACTAGGGCTGATGCCCGTAAATGTTGCCACATTTGAAGTCACTCGAAGGTTAACTATTTCATCACTCAAACATGAAGAGTAGACAAAATCTAGAAAACTACATTTACTAAATATAGAGGGGGCATTCTGAGAAATCTTATCGGACACTCTCAGTGAGTTTTACAGAACAAACCTTTGAACTTGCAACTCTGGAAATGCCTTTAGCAGAAGAAGGTCTGTCTAACAATAGAACTGATGAGGATATGAAAAGTGCAGTGAGATTCTAGGTCCTGTCACATGACCGAAAGTTCTTCTGTTCTACACGTGCACCCATTGTCTGTAAATCGGGAAGTAATAAGGTTAGGTGGCTTTGGGGAACCACGGCCCAAAAAAGAAAAGAAAAAGAAAGATTCTCGTCGTGGCTATTCCTCGACACAAAGGGCCACGCTGTGGAGGCCACGCTTGTCACGTGAAATTAAACACGGGCCTTGCGTTGGGCTTCCCAAACCGAGAGCTGCACACTCACGCCAAGAGCCAGCGTTTTACTTCTGTTTCCCTTCTGGTCACCGAGTAAAGAAGGAACATTTCTGGGAAGCTAGCAGTTATGCAATGAGTGGAGGGTGACGCAATGACAAGAATGTACTACTAAATTCATGTCTACATATCCAGTTCACTAGATTTGTGAAACTGTTTGCAATGTTTCCCAAAAAGGAAGCCCTAACGTTCTGACGAGGAGCTTTAAAAATGCATGAATTTACAAAAGTTAGTAAAGGATTTTAAAACAGCATGTCTTGTGTTGTATGTTGCTAAACAAGCTGTTAACACAACACTGATATATTATCACTTCATGAAATCTTTACGGGGACACCAAGCAGGTAGAGAGCAACATCAGTATCCATTTCTACATTGATTCTGTTTGTTAAATGCTGATGGAGCCCTCAGTGCATCGTATGTTAAAAAAAAACCCCAACAACATATTTTTAAGTTCTTGTCTCTTAAGTCCTGCTCGCTAGATGCCCACTTTCGTCTGATTGGCTGCCCCTCGCTTGGCTTCCGTAAATAGCACGAGTGCTTCTAATCCATGACTCCTCCTCTTAAGCAAGAACTGTACCGTGACTGTACAAAAGGTCAGTGCTGACCTGACACAGATTATTACATCCCCTGGCATTAAACATTTAAGTTGCCTTGTTGGCCACGATAACCTGGTACCAGCTCCTGACGTACATGTACAGCAGACGGATGTAGCCAGGATTACATCACCCACTGGTAAATGTAGGATGGTGGATGAAAGTGACCCAGTAGCAAAGGGCACCGCATTATCAATGAGCATAAAATAGCCGGGTCCTAAAATACACAGAGCTCTAATATATTTTTTACTCAGAATAGGAAAGTAACTTACAAAAATATAAATAATGCTTTTTTAAAGAAGACATTAAACTTGGAAAATTAGGAAAAAAGTTCACCGAGGTAAAAATCAAGCGAGACGAAGGGTCATTTTCTCACAATCGTCTATACAGTCGTACTTTGTTTTACATCCAGAAGAGTTGGCCCCTGTTGGCCGTTAGAGGGAACGAAGGTTTACGGCACATTTGCAGTGGATTCATGTTTCTGTCCAGAAGCTATTGTCTAATCCAGGTACCTTTAAGGTTAATCCTGGCTTTCCTGTACTATGAAGGTGGTTCACTTCTTTCAGAGGTATAATCACCATGGTAACCTACTGTATGCTGTGAACCGGAGCAGGTTATGTTCCAGATTAAAGGTCAACACGCACAAAATTGCTGGATGAGGATCAGTGAGAAATATAGATTCTTAGATGGAGCTTTAGTCTCTGTTGGCTGCAAACGGTTTCCAACACCATGGAGGCCGTAGCTGAAGGAACAAATATAAAAAAACATTCATTTAATGACATACTCAAGTATAATCCATCAGATTCTATTGTGTCCGAATGATATTCATAGATCCGCCGTAGACACTGCATTTAGCCTTGCTGGCTAACAACAACAACTCAGACTTTATTAATATAGCAGATCTTTTAAAGTTGTCCTGACCAAAGCGATTAAAGCACACGCGTTTAATGCTATATTATTCTACAGCGATTTTCCTTTCACACACACTCACAGTCTGCTGCTTTGTCTGCAGCAGCTGTGCTGCTTTCAGCCTGTATTATATGCTTAACCTCTTAATACGTTTCCCATTCATCTTCCCTTGTAATATCAGCCACTCTGCTCCCATTACACTTATGAATAATTGTAATTGGTCAGCTGCTGCTAACGCCACATACAGGAAAAACCCTGGGTTAACTTATAACCAGCTTTGTGCGACCTCTTGTCTGCGTTACAGTATGACAAGTGAAAGCAAACTTCCCTCGTGTGTACACGTCAAATATAGCGATGAGTGACGCTTCAAATCTAAAAGGGACTTGTTTACATACTTGTGGAAATCCTCGATGCAGTGGATGTGGTTGGAAGCGTCCACAGTGAAAGGGATGCCGTCCAGGCTGCGGTGACACACCACGCAGGTGAAGCAGTGAGGGTGGTAGGCTTTCCCAGTAGCTCGCAGGATGCGCTCCATAATGGGCTTACTGCAGATGGTGCAGGTCTCAAGGGTGTTCTGTAGACACAAACACACAGACACCCACACGGTTACACAACAAACCTGATGATGACCGAAGTGATTTAGATGATTCATTTACAGTGGGCCTTGTTAACAAGTTGGCTACGAAATTTCACCAGCTTGGAAAATGTGAAAACCCTGCATTTTCTCCCAGTTTTTGTAGGCTGTGATTAGAAACTTCCTGTCGCCAGTGTTGCACTTCTGGTGGCTCTGTGCCCATTTGTGCTTGTGCAACTTATAAATCCACACTAGGGACCTTTAGCTCGGCTGTCCTCAAATGCCTTCGAAGCTGAAGGAATCAGATTAGCACTCCTCTCGAAACACAAACACAGTCATTTTTCAGCTGCCCTCACCCACACTCCATCCTCCCGTATGCAAGAGTGCGAGCAGTAAATATTTCCACTTTGTGATGACTGCAGGATTTCTGCAGCCAGGCGACTGGGCAAGCGGCCCGCGGGGAGACGTGGCCGCTGCCTGCCTCTGACTTATCTGTGGCATCTCTCTTCTTAATATCTGCCGGGAGACACCATTTGTTATTTCAATATTTCATAAATAACGACTGCCTCTCTAAACAGCAATGCAATTACAGGGGGATGGATATATCATGTGAGAGTGATCAATGTGCGGCCCGATGCGGCTGCGTGCGACTTGATGGGCCCCGCCGTCGCTGCTCCTCGCTCAGGCATTTCCTGGATCTCTGTTGTCTCTCTGTTTGCCGCCTCCCTCTCCTCCTCCCCCCTGTTTTGCGCTTGACTGGGCTAAAGAGTGCACGGTTCAGCTGTTCCCATTGGCTCCCACTGTAGTAGCAAGCTGCCTCAGTGTTTCCAAACACAGCTCGGGGTGTGTAGCAACACTGCGCTGCGTCATCGGCTGCCTCCCAGTTGCCCCGCCGGGCTCTGCCGCTTAAAATGACACTTCTGTGACCGCTCGGCCGAGGTAAACTCGAAACCCCCCCCGTCCGGCTGTGCAGCACATGCACCGACGTTCAGTCTGTATGCAAATGAATGAAGAAGCCTTTTACAGAATGAGGCTCATTAGTTCACGTGCACGGTTAAACTGCTCCTGACACGGCTCTCGTAACACGATCGCGTGCCACCGGAGGCCGAGAGGGCAAGAGAGGAGGGCAGCTGACGCTTGACTGCAGGCTGGAGAAATGTGGTTTGAAAAATGGCCGTTTCTTCAAGGCACTCCTGGAGAGGCATTATTTCATGAAAAGCAATGAGTGCAGACATGCTCAGTACCCCCCCCCCCACACCCCCCACACCCCCCTCCAAGATGGTAATAGAAATAAACATTATTCCCAGGGCAACGTTTGTGTATAAACAATGTCCATATTGCAGTCCCGCTCGATCCTGGAAGTGGAATAAAGCCTTTAATGAGCTCGCTGCACTGAGCCCTTGAGGTTTGCCTCGCACACGCACACAGACAGAGAGAGGTAGAGGTAGAGATCGAGAGAGGGGGGAGAATATATTTGCAACCTGAGAATCTGAGTGAGATACCAGGGCCAAACAGCACTAAACCATCTTCAACTCTTACTCATCTGCCTGCATTTCTACTTACTTATTCTCATCTGCCCTTCATGTGGGAATACCTTGCCCTTGTTTAGCTTAACTAGAGCATATGATTTCACAGCACACAGTTCCTCCGGGCCATTGTAATGAGTACAGTACTCAAAAGACAAAATTTCTCTCTTTCTCTCTGATGGTAAGATTCTATGACCTCAATTCATTTATTCTGCTCAGCCGCTGTTGTTTTTCCCATTCACTCGTGACTCCTGTTATTTGGAATTAAGTAACATTTATTAAGATCTGTTACACAAACCCGGGTCTGATGTCAACACAGAGAATGTTCATGGTCTGCGGTTGGGCACGACTTCCACAGATGGTTTAGGAAATTCTGCATAAATCACTTCATGCCCTCCCTGTCAGACATTCAGGTCCCTTGTAGTTTGCCACTAGAGGGCTGTATATGTCTGCAGATGTCCGGGTTTTACTTTTCCCTTGACTAAATGTGATGTATTCAAGCATATGTATTCTTTTTTTCCTCCTCTCTCCCTCAAACATTTCTCTAAGTGTTTGCCCAGAAGGCTAAACAAATGTCTAGGCAGATGAGGTAAAGTAAATTTAGGTCAGACAGCCTCTTGCTGAACCGAGGGTTGAGTAGAGTGTGTTAAAGTCAATCGCGACCCCCATTTTTCTTTCATTTTAAGGCATTTTACTTTTGCTATAAAGTGCTCCGGCAACACCAAATGAGAGCTCGCACAGTCCGGCTCAGCTTCTCACCGTTTGGGAACGGCCTAACAAAACGGCGTTCGACACAGCTGTCTGTTAGGATGAGAACTGCGATGGCGAACAAAGCACGTAACGGAGTCAAGCGGTCCCACGTGATCCGCTCTGAACATGAGAGTCGGGCGACAGAAAGAGATGCTCACACCAGAAAAAAATTCACACAACGAAGTCTGGGACTCTAATATTAAGTCTTTTGTCTAGTGAAAATGTTTCACTAATTTCCGCTTCAAGTCCACTTGTAATTTGCAGCTTTACTGGATCAAGTGACAATCAGCTCAGTTTTCAGAAATACTGGAGGGTTTGATGATAATTAATCAATTAGCCTGCACTTGTAAAAATAATGACGAGAAAATAAAAAAGCTAAAAAAAAACCCATTTAATTTCTGTAATGTAAGCGAGACTGAAAACTTGAAAACTTCCATGGCTCTTCTCTCCTCAGAATCCAGCGAACACTAATGTGTCTCTGTGTTTCAGTGCAAAGAGCAGCTAAAGGTAAAAGAATGCGGGAACAAAGACGTGTTTTCTGTGTTTGCACATGAAACGCTAAACAGCTGGAAATGTGATGTGGCATACTGTTGAGCTGAAGCTGTTCATCGTCTCTGCAACCGTAGCAACACAGATTTTTACACCTCTCCTTTCTCTCTCTTTCGCAACTTGGGCTGACAGGAGGTAGGCTGGAGATCAGTGAGGCTACACGCCATTTATGACCTGGCACGCTGAACTCAGAGCGGGCCAAATTTACAGATGATCTGATTCCATGTGCATGTGTGTCACAGAATGTGCCAGTCGGCGCCCGGCCACGCCGTGTGACATCGCTGCACTCTGTTGAAGGTAGCTCTCTGATACCTAACAAGAGCTTGTAGGAAACATGCATCTGAGCGCTCTTCATGGACTGAATGAGAGTTAATGACTTGTTGTTGAACTATGAGTCAAATCACTGACCCTCCTAACTCCCGAGGGAAGGTGTCCACTGACTTAATGAACCTTGACAAGCAGCTTCTCTCCCTTTTATTGCTTAAGATGAGTCAATCAAGCGGGAAAAGAAGAAAGCCTTTTGTTAGAAACAGTTACTTACGTATACAAGAATTTTCTCCTGTGTCAAGTAGAATGGAAAAAAAATAAGAATGTAAAAAAAAAAAAAAGGAAATTTCCCAACACAATTCAGTCTAACATAACACTGCAAACCACAAGAACAGAGGCAGAGGGGTTTGGGGAAATGATGTTAATTTAGACTGCAAGGACTGCAATGCTGTTAAATCTCATGTTAAATACTGCAGTTTTGCTAGGTGCTGACATCATCCTAGATATCACCAAGTTACCTTTGACTTCAGTTCTTTCACACATGAGCAAAAGGAGCCAAGAGACCCCTCCAACTTCAAAATGAAGTTGAAGGGGTAAGGTTGGAAGTTTGCTTTCGTTGGCTTTCCAAGTTTATGCTAGGCTTTGTAATAGATGCTTGTTTGGGTCCAACTACAACTGCTCATAACATTAACCCTGCATGCTGAAAAGTGACACTTAACCAGTGCATCTAAAGGGACCTCTCTGAGCTTCCACATATGGTGATTTAGAAGTGAGAGACCTGTGTCACCACTGCCACAGCCGACTGTGTCACAGCACAAGTATCAAAGGACACCTGATGTGTATCTGTGAGATGATACCAGCTTTGACAGCGTGCCAGTATTTGACACTTTGGGATGGAGAACAAACTCAAAGACTGACAGCTGAGCACCATGGGTGCATTACAGACTCAACTCTGTGGTAAAACACAACGCTCCACTTACTCTTCACCAATGTTCCCTCTAAGCTGCGTACGTGCGCAATTGCGCACTGCTGGCACGGTCTCTGCGCACAGAAAATCTGCGTTGCGCACAGTAAAAAAAAACTAACCTGAATTGAAATTTATATTAATACTTTATACATTTTACAAATTTCTACAAATACAATTCTGTTTGGCAGTGTTAGTAAGTGACTGGCTGCTCCCGTATGGACGATTATTATGCCACCTTATCCCATAGTCCAGCCAATAATGCGATTCACATTCGTATATACGCAGCTAATTAACGACGTTGACAGGCTATGACAGCATCCGTATGTGCTGATACCGGTGTTTTAGCTAGCAAAGTTGCGTGGCTGATGTGGAGTGAAGCCACGTTAATGACAACGTGTACAACCACTGGAGACGTGAGCAGGACAGACGGAACAATTGACGGAAAAAGTGTGGACTTTATACCAGTTTTTAAATTGTGTTGATAGGCCACGTAAAACCAGAGTTATGATAAAAAAATATCTGCAATGTTTGGTTTTCTTCCTGAATACTATCGTTGTTTATATTTACTGCAGGAAGAAACAGTAAAGACGGCGTTTTATAAGGAAAACGCTCGAAACACTCCGCATGTGAGCAAAACCAAAAAACCCCTTTCCTATTGGTCGAAAAATGTACCATGGCGACCAATCAAAAAATGATATGGTAACGTGGCATCTAGTTGTTAAGAAACGGTGTCAAGTTTTAGGAGTGACGGCGGTGTTTTGAGATGTGAGAGATTTGAGACATTTAGCGCAAATCTTGTGTAGTTAGTGTGTAGTGTAGTTTTGTTGTATGTGTCAGAACAATGAGGCGACTGCTGAATGTTACAGGTGTTACAGGAGTGATACATCTCCTGCTGTCAGGCCTGCAGGTATCAGGCTGTTGTTCTCCTTTATCTCATAGTGGACAGAAATGATTTTTTGGAGTGGCACAAACAATTTGTGTGGCATCAGATTTGATGCAGAACAGCTGATTGTTCTGTAAATAGTTTGAAATGTTTATTTAAAAACACGCCTTGGCTGCATTTTTAGGTTAAACAGCTGCAAAAAACTTTATTGTTTGCATAACTCAGTTACTTTTTTGAAGAACTATATAATTAATTGCACATTGGTCATTATTTACTGTATTTTGCAGACAGAGAGTTACGGACTCTCTCCCAGACCACAGACTCAAAATACAAGTCAGAGCTTTATAAAAAAAAATAAATAAAAAAAAAAAAGTTCTGTTTTCAAAATCGGAGTTCAAGTTATTTTTACTTCCAATAGTGTTAACATCCTGCACAGGTCATGAACAAGATTTTTTTTTAAATTTTCATTGTAAGTGGGCTAAAGCAGTTAATTAAAAGTAGTCTAACATAAATGTAAATGCTGTAATTTGATTATTTTAATAAAACATGTAACTTGGATGGATTCGATGCTGGCGCGACCACAGTGCACACGTCTCATGTTGCTCACAGTGGTCCAAGGGATCGCTCAGGGAGTTTGTGTGTTCACTCAGACACATGAAAAATTAGAAGGAACATTGCTCTTCACACCACAGATGTATTAAATAAACTTGATATGGTGCTGATAACTCTTCCCACTGGTCTCTTTTGGTTTTTACCAACAAAAAATCCCTGCAGTCCCAAAAACATTTCCCAAAACAACTGTTAGAACACAGACAGCTACAAGCTGCTAACAGGGCACCTTCAAAAAAGATTAGACTGAATCTTCCAACCATAAAATTTTTATATTCCCTAATTTTTTCCCTGACGCTACAAAAGCCTCGTGCAAGGTTGGGATGTGGGTGGGACAAAAGCAGGAAAACGATAATGCAAATGTACAGGAGGAAGCAAACGTGGAATCTAAGAAAAAAAATCTGGTTTGGCTCATCTGACAAACAAGGATCTGATTCATCTTCTTCAACCATTTTTTTAAAGGACAGTAGACACAAATAGACACACTGATAAATTAAGAAAATGAAATTTAAAAAAAAGAGGTAAATCGATTTGATTCTGATATTGGGGGATTTGGTATATAGAAAAAAATCAGAGTTGTACAGCTGCATATTTTTTATGATATTATCCAAAGTGTGTGTCTCAGTCGGAATCACCTCACAGCCCTGCGGTTTTCCCAGGGTCCTCTACACATGAAGCTAGAGCCAGCAGCTTATTAGCTTCTTGGCAGAGTGCAGTGACCTGCAATCCTCATTGGTTCAGGAAGCCAGTGCACTCAGCTTCCCTCCACTGACAGCAAAGGCATCCGAGGCTCAGATGGTAGAGCAGGATGTCCACTAATTGCAATGCTGGTAGTTTGATTTCTGATTCCTCCACATGCTCAAGTGTCCTCTGCAAAGACACCAAACCCCAAGCAGCTCCAGATAGCAGCTGAAGACCCCACGACATCTCTGGTATGTGTGCGATGAGGAGAGTAAAATCTAAATTTTAAGCCAGTTAAAATGTGTTATTAGAGTCCAGAGTTTTATTAGTCGGTTCAAAACAAGGGAAAAGAGGGGAAGTATTTGTGAAATCCATTCCCTACTTTTGTCATTTTTAGGCAAAAAACCCCTGAAATGTAAAAGAAATTTTATCATGACTAACTCAACACCTTTTGGTTTGTGAGCTTTGCTCTGAGAAAATCCACAATGTTCTTTCCAAGATCAAACAACTGACTGAGAAAAAGAGATGACGCCTTACATCCATTTATTAACAAATAGTTCCTCTTAAGCGCAGCGGTTGCTTACAACTCCACATACTACAACTGCCAAGGTCAACGCTGAAAAAGCTCTCAGTAGTGGGTATCTGTGTATGCACGCTGTTATTTGAAGTAGTTTCTCGAGGAAGAAGCAGTCACCTCACAGCTGACTTGGCATCAGCTTCTCTTAATGAATATTTAAACTGGAGATTTGGCAAACCCGTCCCCATGTTAGCGTTCGCAGACACTGATCCTGCTAAGTTTCTGTTCATCACAAAAAAGGAAGCAAGAGCGTTAAATGAGCAGTAACGGCGAGGTTTTCAAAGCTACGCTGGGTGACTTCACAAAGCAAAGGGAGTGGAGTTTTATACGAGGTGTTTTTATATTCTTAAAACAAATCACGGAGGGGTCGGCTTGGAGAAAGGCCAGAAATCTGTTGTTGTTGAGGGAGCCTGGGAGCTCATTTAAATCCACGTTTTTGCAGAGGGACTGTGGGAGCATCACCCTCTCCTAACACGCAGGCTGCTCAGGCCACAGAGATGGAAAGGTCTGTGTTTAAAATTAAGTTTCCCTTCAGCTGTTTGAGTTCAGTGACTGTGATCATCTCTGTGCCTCATCCTGAGAAGGTTAACAATTGATCAGCACCCCTGCCTCCTCTCACCCGAGACCCCTGACACAATCTCACCCTCAGCCCTCGACATTCAACCTAAATTCCCTTTTGAAGCCGTCATTGCTTTCCAGTGAGCAGGACTGGCATCCTGACTCCGTCGATCTGTGTAGTTTCTAAACATTAGGTCCTCAGTTGTGAGCGTATGAAGATATATTAACGACACTTGACTCCTTTACAGAATCCTGTCATTTCTAAGCGCGTTATGTAAATCACCCACTCGTATCTTCTCCGCTGCCTGGATGCAGATGACTGAGGTGTGCATGTTTTTTTGTTTGTTTGTGTGTGGGTGTGAGTGAGCATGTCATACAGTGGAAAGCGATGGTTTGCTAACTCAGAGGATCAGTGACCTTGAAAGTATCAGCTGCATAATTCACAGACGGAGCGTTTGTGACACTCATCTGTGTGCACGCCAGTCAGTCAGGACGAGCGGGCCGAGGTTTCGGTGTCTCTGACCTGGAAAGGCCTCGTTTCCTCAGAGTCTCCTGTGCTCAGCCTGTCTGTCAGGGTAATAAATTCACACCGGGTTATAAATGACCAGCACGTGCAGGAATGGGATGGCATCCCGCCAGAGCTTCCTTTCCTGTTTTGTTTCTTTTTAAACACCCGGTCGGCTGGATGGTCTCGGCAGCGGCCCCCCCTTGATCCTTCTCACCAGCAGCCCGTGCAGGTTTCACTTCAAAACAAGGCAAACTAATGAAACAGCACATGTCCAATGGGATTTAAATTTTCATACATGCTAGTACACACAGCTGCGTGGCTTTACTTGTTCACACAGATTTCTTATTTTAGCTGCGTGATAACATCAAGCTACAGCCAACATGAAGGGACAGGGTCGACCACTCAGCTCATGCCTCGCTCAGGCCTTTCTTCAAAGAATAAAAGGTGGCAGTGGGGGCCCTCTCTCCGGCTCAGGCAAAGTGGCCGGCCTGCCCGTCTGCCTCTCCGCCTTAAATTCAGCTCCGCAGCAGAATGCGACCCCTCTGGACTTTGGGCAATGTCTCCTGCTCTGGTTACAGAGAGAAACTGACAAAGACCCCGGCAGTAGTTCTCTCATAGCATGAGTTAGAGTGACATTGTGGTGGGTCAGCACTGGGTCACGGATATTTTTCTCTCCTGCTTGCCTCTTGGGGGTGGGGGGGTGGGAGCGGAGCGTGGTGGGGGTGCTTGGACGAAAAGCACGAGGAAGGTTTAGTGGGTGCCGATACATGGATTTGCTCTCTTGTCTAAACAGTGCATTCTAATAACAACGTGCGCGCTTTTCATTTTCCTGCTTGTAATGGATAGAACGGCTGCATTTCCTGTAGTGCGGGTCAGTAATAAGAAATAATGACCTGCTTGAATTTAGCTGGCTCACACCCACTGTACGGCACAATTACACACACGCGCATAATTGTCTTGGCAAGTCTGGAGACGCACCAAGATGTGAAATCCTATTCATGCAAGTGCTATCTAATTGGCTCGCTCCTTTGAGGAATTAGACCGAGTTAATCACGTCTGAATATACAGAACTCAATTAGAACTCTGCAAGCTAATGCAGACAGCCATGAATATTTGATGACAAAGTCAGCAGAAAGCCTCCGTGTGTTCGCCAGCTTCACATGAAAAGTCGAAGCAGGGTGGGAGCACACCTGCCGACCTCTCCTGCGGTGAGCTTCAGCACCACAACGGCGCGCAGCGACGAGGGGCCCTGAACTCACCACGATGGCTGAAAGCCTCTGGATCTGACTACCTGGATATCCATCACGGAGAAGTGACAGGTGTGTGGGTGGTGTGCGGGTGGTGTGCAGTCATTTCTAATTAGAGCCATATTACTGTCACGGAGGCTCTGCTGCAAACTCCTGTGTTGTTCTGTTTATATCACATATGAGAGGAGAGATGATCTTCTGTGATTGGATGTATTGTTTTCCTACATCGCCTTTCTCAATGACAGCAGCAGCCTTAGGGGACTTCAAGGGGATATCCCTTTGTTAGCTGGGAGAGTCTGCTATGATGTGCTGTAGAGGACATCCAGAAGCCCCAATACAGCTGGCAACGTGCCTGTCGCCTCTGGGTTCTCCGACATCCTCAGCAACTTCCCTCCACTGCCTGGATTGTTTGATTATGGCGTGCGTATTCGAGCTCGTTCTTCTTCTGAAAAATTCAGCAGATTTTTTGTCGCCACGAGTTCACCTCTAGTCCCGCCACACTCACAGTCTGTTTATTAGCACCTGCTATTCACACATTCACAATTATAAATCATTCCTGGGTGATTCCATGAGAAGAAAAGAAAGAAAAGAAAAATCAGCGAGTTCTGCCCACCGGACAACCTCAGAATCAGCTGATGTTCTTTGTTGCTATAATTACAGAATATTTAATGAAATCACACAAAGTCTTGTTCCTGCTTTCGGTCAATATTTTTTTTCCAGCATCTCTGATCTCTCTTAACTTTATAATAAAATTATCTTCATTTAAGCTCTGTTAAGAAATGCACAGAAACAGGAACCTGAGATGTTTGACCAGTTTTCTGATAATTTACTGGAGGAAACTTTCAAGGCTCGTATCAGGATGTGGGATAGACGGCTGTTGAAAACAAGTGATAGCACACGAATGGTCCCCTTTATACCTTTGATACCAGGATCATCTTCTAGCTGTGATTCCTTCTCCGGCCTTGCACTAAAGCAGACTGTCAGTCGCTGATTTTTGCCCCTCTTGTTTCCCACAATCGAATATAATTTTTCAAAATTAAATATTCATTGAATGTGCAATATTAATTGCACACTACTGGTGCTGAAAAATACCACATTGCCTGCTTAACATGATGGGACTAAAGACAAAACTCCACCTTCACAATGAATCAGCAAACCAAGTTTTCTTCCAAGTGCATATTTAAAAATGAAACAGACATAAAAAAAAAAAAAAAGAAGCAGTCCATCAGTTAAACTTTTATAAAGGCAGCATGAATGACGGCGACCAGTACGGGTGACATCACTACTTTCCAAGACAGACAAACAGCCGCCGAGGGTAAAAGCTCATCAGTCAATCACGAACGTTTCCTGGTGACTGGCAGGTCAGGGGCGCCGTGTGAAGTTCTTCCTTTACAATGGCAGAATGGAAAATCTTT